AATACTCTGTCTCGTCACAGAGCTCTTGGGTCTGTCCCACTGCCATGAGACAAGAGCTCCCATCTCCCTGCAGTGCTTGTGCTCAGAGATCACAGGTAGGGTCTTTCAAAGTGGCCCTACCTTTTGGGTGTTTTTCACCTCTCTGACAGGGTTACATTCATGGTGTTATTGTTTCATGGCACCCACTGATTGAAATATCCTGTGATGTTTTAAAGAGCCTTTATTTCATTGTAAGTTTCAGTGGCTTTTCATGTATTTCAAGAAGACAAAAGTTTTTGGAAAGACATTGATACTTCCTCTTCCCCCATGTCTATCTCCTTGCAGTACCCTCATCAGAGTAACTCGGTAAGCTCCTGCTCCTACAAGAGGTCTCTTTGGCTTGTACATCCATACAAGAGAAAGCAGTAGCCACCTTCATGGGCCTCCACAGGCTGATCCTTTGCACCCAGCCTCTTTTCATAGTTAATGAGATTTGAACTCCAGGGAGATACCCCAGCAGAGCAGCACTGTGGCTCTGGCTGTGCCTGGCCAGCTTGAACAGACCAAAATGAAGATTAATTGACTGGATCTGACAGCATGAACTTGCCACTGAGACCCAAACTAATATCTCTGTGCAGTCTGTTGGCCTTACAGTATATAATCAAAAGCGTGTCTGTTTTCATATTCCTTCTCTGACACTGGCCAAGAGCAGATGCTTTGGGTAATGATGTTTATATCCAGGCCATCTTGCTAGGAGTCACCCTCAATACTGCTAAAATGACTGTCCTGCTATATGGTGTGTATATACAGGACATTAAATAAGATTGATGTTAAAAACCCTCTACACGATATAACACAAGAGACAGTGTAGTGAACTCTCTGAGTAATGCTGTAATAAAATTATTTCTAGCTCACATGTATTGCAAATTATCTGTTTTAATTTTTTTTCACCCTCAAGAACAGTTTGCATTGTGGCATTAGGATCCTTTTCATGAGTCTCTCAATTCATCTCTCATGCTGTTGGCTAGATTATAAACTCTGCAAACAGAATTGCCTTTGCACCCTAAAGTACATACTTCTAGTGTTTTAAAATCCCCTAGTTTTAGAATTTTTTTTAGAATTTAGGATTATTGGTCAGGCTACTTTGCTCTGAAAATCTGTTTATAAAAACAAAAACTTTTTAGGTCTCTCAAATGTTCTTATCAGAAAATAATAATGTATTATTATCAAAATAGAACAAACCCATTTCATTCTTTTTCTAATTATAGGGCAATTTTCCACAAGTTAAGCAACAAAAGTACTTGGAAGGAAAAAAAGGCTGAAGGAAACTTACGGTTTTGTTTTTGGGGGTTATTGGCTTTGGATTCAAAATGACCTTCTACCCTTTGGTTATTTGTTTCCTGTTTTGCCTCATAAGAATCCTCCTTTGTTTGCAACCTGCTCTGTAGCTGAAAACATGAAAAATGTGTTGACTTTTATGGAAACACTAGAACTATGATTGGTACTATTCTTCACAATGTAGATTTAATTCCTTTACTCTTTCTTTATTTTTATCTATTCTTTTAAGTCTGTGCCTTCTTTCTGTATCAACATTCCTTGTTCTGGTTGCTGTGGTTGCTGTCCAAGTGGAAAAAGCATTTTAAAAATGAATTCCTATAGCTTTCAGGTGCTAGTCCTCTAGGTAGTACTCAGTCAAAAATGGTTGTGGTTATCTTCTGTTTGTGTTGTTCCTATTCAAATATGTTGGAGTCCAATCCTGCTGGGTATGCTGTAATTGTTCCAGTTGTTGGAAATGCAGTTTTCAGCAAAGTGTTGGTTTGTCTATCTGGATGTCACAGCTGGAAGGCAATCCAGCCTTCCTGTCAGAAGCATCTTCTACACACAAATTCACAGGCCATGCACATGGGCCTGAGAAATCTGTGTTCTAAAGATTTGCCACTTTTCTCTTGGCATCTGAAGGACTGAGATAAAATTGCCAAGATTGAGGGATGCTGCACCGGGACAGCTGTCTTACGATGGTGAAGAGTGACCACTGGCAGAAGGGACTGCTCTACCCTCTCTGCTGGAATCAGATCATGGTATTGTTGGACTGGGGATCGGAAACAACTCTGCTCTGGGGGTTAAAAAGAAAGACCTCAAGAGAATAAAAGTTTTACTATATAAATTTCAGGCCACTATATAATTACAGGCCACAATTAAGTCTAGAAAAACAGTACCTGTTTAACTCTGCCTTGTGCCCAGCAAATGATTTGAGGCCATGCAATTTCTGTAGTAATTCTGCTGCTGTTTCTAATGCTATTACATGGGAAGTGATTTTCTACCACAGCTGTTACAGATATTCTACTAAACATTATTTAAATACTGATTACTGGTAAAACCAACACAGAGTATTGGGAATAAGGAAGGAGGTGGGATGCTTTATAGGTCTCTGGTGGTCTTTATGTCATATCTACTTTGCAAAAAAAAATTCTTTGCTGCAGGAATTTAGAAGTAGGTAACATAAAACTCAGCTGTCAAACAAAAAAAAAAAAAAAAAAAAAAAAAAAAAAGTGGAAAGTTTTAAAAAAAAAAAAAAGGCCACTAGTCTGTTTGAAGCTGAAAATACCCTGTCCAGAACATTCTTCAGAAAAACTTTAGGTTGAGCAGCAGGGTTACTTGTGGAAAAGAGTAACTACTTTAAATGACCACGATGGGCAGAGAGCGTTAAAAAAAGAGACTAAAAAATAGACTATGGGGAAAATGGACAATGAAGCTGGTATCTCCAACCCTCTCATGAGGCTGAAGGTCAGGAGCTGTAAAGAAGCCCAGGCAGTAAAGGAGGCTAGCTTGACAGAAGCATCCATAGATGGTAATGAAAGGAAGCAATTAAGCCAGCTCCTCCCATGATATTCTGGTGTCTTTTCCAAGATCAACGAAGAATTTGGATGACAGGATTAAGTGCAGTGCTGCTCTGTGCTAAACCACTGAATGCTCCTGGGAAGCAGCGCTTACTCTGACTTGTCATCCTAGGAGATGGGTAGAAATGTTAAATGGAAGGGCCTGACTGTTCATCCTAAGGTGTTGCTGGCATTCTTGGTTCTCCAGGCACATCCTTCTTCTTGGGTGGCTTCAATTTCTGTTATTAATACACTTACTGCCTTTGAAGGAGCTTGTTAGCACAGGTAGCACCCCCAGCAGATATTAGGATCTCTCCTGGCCCAGAGGTGGATCAGCTAATTGTGTGAGTTGTGCCTGTGCAAGATAAGAGCTCCTGAGTGGGCTGTGGGCCAGCGACTCCCAGGTGCTGATGCCCATTCCTGAGGAGTACTGAAAGCCTGCTGGGACATGCCCCAAACCTTCTTCTGCACAGACAGCATTAATCCCCCAGTCCTTAATTCAACTACACCTGCAAAGATGGGGTTATTTCTGTAACTTTTATCACTCTGGGCACATTGGCCTCAGGGCACTGTCAGACTGGAGTGAGATATGCACACAACATGCTGCTGGAGCAGTCTGTGCTTAGCCCTGCCAGCTACACAAGACATTTTGGTCTCCGTGTAATATGCTTTTGCCTCTTCCTTGTGGAAGACATACATTTTCCAGGGTTTTCATTCTCCTGGGCAATCCCT